CCCCCCCCCCGCCGATGTTGTCCCGGGCCGCGGCCCGGCTTGCTCTGCCTGCGGGGCGGAGCCGGGCTTGGGTACAGCCTCCCCCCGGTCCCTAGCAGGCTGCTCTTCTGTGCGCTCAGCTGCCCCCCTGCAGCCCAGCGCCGGGATCTCACTGCTCCGCGGGGTCCTAGGGCTGGGCAGGGCAACTGGGCAGGGGAACTGCCGCCTAGTTCCCGGGTGCCGCAGAGCCCCGGTGCCTGACCTTCCCGCCAGCGTGGCAGCTAGTTCCAGGGTCGGCTCCTTCCTGGGCTGGGAGGAGGAGTTTATGCACCGCTGTGGGCACGCTCCTTTATTGCGAGTCAGAAGACACGTTCCCGAAGCGTAACAGCAGTGCAAGGCATCACTGGGTCCGGGGAACTCAGCGGGCTGTGACCGAAGGCTGGGGCCAGGGGACCTGGAGGTAGCCAGTTGCTCTGCTGCCAGTCAGGGCTCTGCAACTACTTTGGCACAAGATTTAACGATTTTTAGTTTCCTTAATGAGAAAATAAGTGTCAAAGTGACCAGGCGACAAGCGACTTCTATTGCCAATTGCAGTGACACTTGAAGAAAGAAGGCACCAGTATGTATAGTCACAAACTCCTTCACAAGCAGCTCAGTGTTAATAATATCCATCCCATGCACTTCTTACTACACTGTTTTGCACGCAGAGTCAAAGTCAGTCACATTCTAGGACTTTTTGGTCTAAGAGTACTATAATCGCTGGCAAGGAAAAGAAGTTCGTGGAGGCTATTATTTTGCTAAAGTCCCGCTCACTTTGGAGATAGCCTCCAGTTAGCCAAGGCTTGATTTTATACAAAAACTGCTGCTCTGCAGTAGGTAGCTCTTCCTGTGGTTCAGGGAAAGATAAATGGGAGAGGAAGATTAATCAGGGAGGAGAGCTGTGGTGATAGAAAGTGGTGTGGAATATAAAATAAGGTTATGTGCTACAATAAGCTCTGTGCTTCCAGGGATTGTGAAGCCTTTATTACAGGATCCAGGGTGGAGATAGCTTGATTTCTCCCCTCTTCTCCTTCCCTTGGCTTGTCTTGGAGTTAGATGTTCAGCTGTTTTTGGAAATCAAACACTGGGGGAAAGGGGTTCAGCTAGTGATTTTTGGTTTTAAATTTACTTTCTTGACTCCCTGTAGCACCCAGCTCAGCTCAGCTCAGCTCAGCCAAATGCCCTCTTCACCCTGATTGAGGGCTCTCCCTTTCACTAACCTGTTGACTCAAATCCAGGCTGCCAAGAAAGGGAGCCTCAGCTGAAATTAACCAACCCCTCCCAACCTCATTTTTCAATTCACCTCATACAAGCTTTGTTGTGCCAATCTCTTTAGTGCAGCTTACAAATATAGGGGTTTTGGGTTACATAACTGCACAGGAGAGCAAAACAATGTAAGTTTATTCAGTCCTACTTCTTATTCAACCAATTGCTGAGGAAAATAAGTTTGTTTACATTTAAGGGAGATAATGCTGCTGGCTTCTTACATTCTTTACAATGTCACCTGTGAGAACAAGCATTTGCATGGCACTTTAGTAGCTGGCATCACAAAATATTTACAGGCCAGATGCACTAAAGATTCTTATATCTCTTCATGCTTTAGCCACCATTCCAAAGGAAATGTGTCCATGCTGATGACACTTATTTAAAAAATGCATTAATTAAATTTGTGAGTGAACGAACTCCTTGGGGAAGAGCTGACTGTCTCTTGCTCTCTTTTACCTGCATTTGGCCATATATTTCATGGTATAGCAGTCTTGGATGATGACCCATCATGTGTTTTTCACTTTAAGAATATTTTCACTGAAGATTTGAGAAAATGCTAATAAGGTACCAATGTGAGATTTCTGAAGATACTTGACCCAAGGTTTAAGAATCTGAAGTGCCTTCCAAAATCTGAGAGGGCTGAGGTACCTTTCAGAAGTCTTAAAAGAGCAACTTTCCAGTGTGGAAACTACAGAACTCAAACCACCAAAATAATTAAATAAATCCAGCCTTCTGCTGCTGCTAACTGCCTCAGATGATGAAAATGAACATATGCTGGTCCATGATGCTTTGGCTTGTTACTGAGCAGAACTTGTCATCAGAATGGATGTATGCCCTCTGGAATGGTGGTTGAAGCATGAAGGAACACATGAATCTTTAGTATATCTGGCATATAAATATTTTGTGGTACTGGCTACAACAGTACTATCTGAATGTATGTTCTCACTTTCAGATGACACTGTAAACAAGAAGCAGGCAGCATTGTTTCCTGCAAATGTAAACAAACTTTTTGTCTAAGCAACTGGCTGACCAAGAAGTAGGACAGTAGATTTGAAGGTACTACAATTTTACATTGTTTTGGTTTTGAATGTAGTTTTTTTTTTGTCTAGTCAGTACTTGGTCCTGCCAGTCCTAGTATTCTATGATTTGTAAATTTAACTTTCATGATAAAGAGATTGCATTACTGTATCTTTATTAGGTGAATTTAAAATATTATTTCTTTTGTTGTTTACAGTGCAAGTATTTGTTATAAAAGTAAGCAGAAAGTGAGCATTGTCTGTTTTGTATTGTCTTGTAATTGAAATAAATATTAATGAATATTAGAAAACATCCAAAATTATGCACTATTCTTTAACAGCATGATTAATTATGATTAATTGTGTGATAAAAATAATCACGATTAATGTATTTAATTGCTTGACAGCCCATATATATATCTGAAAATGTTTAGTAATGTTTTTGACTCCTTTCAAGTGCATGCATAGCTATATCTAGTAACTTTTCAAAGTTTGGTGACTTCCTGCTATGCAGAGTTGGCAACACTGCACAGGCCTGCTGCCAGTTGTTAAATCTCAGGAGGCAACTTCCAGTCTTGCAGAGTTCATTATAACAATCTAATTAGAGCTCCCCTGCTGCTGAGGCATGGGGTGTCCTGAAAAGTTATATTGGCATAATTGTGTTGGTCAGCAATATGAAAAAAACCTTGCCAACAGACCCTCCAGTGTAGATGCAGTTATGGTGCCAGAATAATGCATCCATCTACATAATATCTCTTGGAGAGGTAATGTTCCTACAGTGACAGAAAACCTCCTTTCAGTAGTGTAGATAGTGCCTATGTTGCAGGACTGTGCTGGTATAGCTGTGCCAGTATAGTCTCCATAGGTAAATGTAGTCTGAATCGCAGGTGGTGCACCAGAGGAAACTGCTGCTTCTCATTATGTGGAGGCATGTGCTGGGAATGGAATTGATGGCAAAACTCCAGGCTAATTTTGGCCTCTGTTATCTACTGGTTACTGGTCCTCAGCCTCACTGTAGGGCCCCAATAAGCATCCCAACCTCCTCATCCCCATTTTAACTAATTCTTTACTAATCCAGCACCTTTTACCACATGGTATTTACTTAAACTTTTAAAATAATCCTACACCCCTCCAGAAATAATAAAAAAGGCATCAATTTGCATTTCATTGTAATTTTATATTTCTTTTTTTTTGTATATTTGCAACTCTGGTACCCAAGTTTTAACCGTTTCTCTACTAAGGATGAGTATACAGGCAGTCCCCGAGTTACGCGGATCCGACTTATGTCGGATCCGCAGTTACGAACGGGGTTCCTCTCCCTGGTCTCCAGCAGACCAGGGAGAGGAAGCAAAGTGGGGGAACACGTGGGCAGCGGACAGGGTTCCGAGGCTTGGCTCTGCTTTGCCCCCCCTCCCCCTGGTCTGCAGACCAGGGGAAGGGGAAGCAGAGCAGAGCAGAGCAGAGCGGCGGAACACGCGGCCAGCTGACAGCCCAGACGCGTGCTCCGCTCTGCTCCCCCTCCCCCGGTCTGCAGACCAGGGGGAGGGGGAGCAGAGCAGAGCAGAGCAGAGCGGCGGGACACGCGGGCGGCGGGGGGG